AGGCGGCACCCGATCGGCTCTCATATCTCTTCCCGCTAAAAACCCTCCCCTATCCCTTTTGCAATACCCTTTGTATCGGCCAACCGTTTTCCATGGCACCACAAAAGCGAAGCATTTGATAAAAAAATCCATTTGCGTGGCAACATTGTTAAAGCCCTCGATAATCCTCCAGAGGTAGGTTCATAATGAATTTACTGTAGATTTATCATCAAGTAAGAATTCAAATTGTATATATTTGAAGTTCAACTTATTAATTGAAACTTATTTCTTTTATTGTTTTTAAGAAATTCAAAAAGCAATATTTTTATGCGTCGCATGTAAATTTAGCTGTAAAAGTAATAAATATCCGCGAGGGCCAATGTTTTGTCGTTATCCATGTTTTATAATGTTGATCAAAATTATCGCTTTACCTACCTTTTAAATTAATAGTGTCAGCGCTGCAGCACACATACCTAAATGATTAATATTTAAAAGTGAAGGTACAGATTAGAGTCAGTGTACGCAAAGCTATTCAAGAACAGCTCTGCGTGTAATCTAAAGTAGCTGTTATTCGCGTCTTCGTCCGCGTCGAAATATATTTTTTTAATAAACATAGCTTATATTACTCAGTGATAACGTAGCTATTTGTTGGTAAAATATTTTTTGAAATCTCAGTAGTTTTTGAGTTATTTCAATACATACAAATATCCAATAATACAAATCTTTCCTCTTTTTAATATTAGTACAGGTGAACGGTTTACGTAAGATTGACTTTACTTTTTACAGCTTAATACTAAAATAAGTCTTTTTAATTCAAGGCAAATTCACATGAAGTAGCAACTTAACGCTTCACCGCTTCTCAACAAAAAACCTTTTTAACATCGCACGACTACTTATGTATGTCAACACAATAACGACTTCCGAAATTCGGTAATTAGGAAGATAAACGACGCCGCGTCATCGTAGAAACGTTACAGAGGCGTTGAAATCAATATTTTATCACAAGGGTGTTTGTAAAAATGATCAAATTTAGATTTAGCGACGTAAATCTTCCAAACCCGGCGATTTTAGTCAAGCATCTTACGTAATACAATGTTAGTCTACAGTAGAAATGCACGCGTCGTTGAAATGTTCTTTCATCGATATTACCAACCGCTTGCGACCTGTCTGTTAAAAAGATTGCCGCAAGTAACGAACGTGTGTAAGATTCACCCACCGCGCGATACTAGCGACGCAAGAGTTACTATTAATTTCGAAGAATTGGATTTCTCCATGTCCAAATGATATATAGTTTATAGACAATAGTCCGAACAAAAAGTAGAGTCTCGACTCTACTTTACTCTCAGCCGCGAAACCCTCGGGTTTCGCGGCTGAGAGCCAGCGAGCATGACATCGCTCATCTCATATTTCGCTATGAGAAGTATGTTATTTGAAAGACAAGAATAGGTAATTGCTGCACTTTCGTTATACTCTCCCTTCGTTTAGACTCGTGTATAAGCCACACAAAGGAGTTACCATAGTGACCAATTAATGTCTCAGAGTGGACATTAGTAGCTTGATTAAATTGTTTTTTGATATACTGTTTCCTGCCATTTTAACTTTCCTTTAAATCTAATCCTTATACTGATAATGATTGAATAAAAATCGTGTCATATTTGTTAAGTTTTAATATTCTTTTAATAATAAGAGATACTAACACATTATTTTTTTTTATTATACGCGCTCTCCAATGTACAAATAGACAATTTGGCTTGGTACAGAGTGAGGTCAGCAAAACTGTTATCAGCAAGTGAATCATTCATTGTTGTTAACGTTATATTTTTTCTTTGGACATGCCTTATCACAACTGCTCTAGAAAGAGACGAAGTGAGCTTCTTGGCCCATTGACATCGTGGTAACTTCTTTTCGTCGGGTATTTCAAGCTGTGGGCAGACAGATAATCTTAAAAAACAATAACATTTCAATGAGGGGCATTAGATACTCCAAAAATGTAGAATAGATACAAAAATACGACAATAATCCTTCTCTCCACCCTAGACCTAAATTTCCGTGAGTCTACCAGTCTTCCAAGAGTCATATCCCGTATCCATCAATGTTAAATACATCAGCGTCCTATCGTGGTTCACCATCAGGGTGAATAAATATTGCCAAGAGGGACTCGACCACGAATCCAACCCCATTGTTGAAGGCCTCCAGACATATCTGGAACTAGTTGGTACACCGGACTACTCTTGAATGCAGACTAATTTTAAATAGCGTATAATGCCTTACTTTTATTACTAACATAAATAACCCGAGAAGGATGAGTAATAATAATGCATGTGTATTCATACCAATTTCACGTTCTCCGCACTTTTATATGCCACTGATGGCAAAGGTTTATAATCTACGTTGGATTTAGATTTCCAACAATTCCCAACATCAATTGAATGATTTCCCGCTAACGATTTTTCAGGTTTAACATTCTGTAGTAATGGAACTTGTGGGCTTCGTTTGATATACATTGCTACGGGACTTCGTATATGTTCGAATAAGTTACATTTAGCTGGACTTTTATGCACGTTAATGTTGTTTACCAATTTATTGGAATCTTTCTTTACATAATCTTGGTCAGACAAATTAGGGAAAGAGAGTTTTAAAGATTCTATTTCTTTATCATTTTTCTCATCATCGAATATGATTTTCCGTGGCTTTATTTCATTTTGGGTATTAATTTTGTTTTCTTGCTTGTCAACATCTCGTGTATTAATATTGCACCGTAATTCAGAATCCGTAACTATTTTATCTAAACCAAGATCACTTCCAAAACTGGATATGGAATTATTTATTGCAGCTCTTGATATGAGATCCGGCTCAGAAGAAGTTTCAATTATTTTTAGACTTTTGTTAACATCGATGTCTTCAAATGTTGTACTATTACATTGATAAAAAATAGATAAAATAAATCTTACTAATACTATAAATGACAAAGTTTAGATGGGTGGATGGAAGTTTGTTAGAAGTAGCCTAAACGACTGAACGGATTTCGATGTAATTTGGCATAGACATAGAGCGTAGTCTGGAAGAACATATAGGCTGCTCACTTTTGTTTTTTTTTAATAACGCGCGGACAGAGTCGCTGGCGAATGCTAGTTAAGACATAAATCTTCTCTGTTGTTAGAACCACATGAATAGCAATAGTAGCATCCAATAAGATAGGATAACCTCGAAGGTTTCAACAAAATATACTTAATATTATAAATGCGAAAGTTTAGATGGATGGATGTACCTATGTTTGTTAGAGTTCGTAGCCCTAACAGCTGAATGGATGTCGATGAAATTTGGCATAGATGTAGAATCCTTTACGATATTCTGGAATCCTCTACGGATAGTCTGGAAGAACATATAGGCTACTTATTTTTTTTTATTACCGCGCCGACGGAGCCGCCGGCGAAAGCTCACATATATCTTCGGCAATAATGATATAAGCTAAAAATTGTTTTATTGAAAAAAAAACTTACTCAATACTACTACAACGTCTCCTTTTATTTAAAACTTTTTTCCTTATTGTAATGTTATCGCTAAACATTTCATCATCGCTGTAAGATGCCATGTTTAAAAATTGTTTTGACGTTAATAATATAACACATATTACAAACGTCAGAGGAACACTGTTACAAATTTAAAATTGTATTCTTAACACTAAGGAGTACCTATTATTATGAATACGTATTTGTATGTAGGGTTATTGAAAAACTTACTACATTTCACTACGTACAAACATTATCATTCAAACGAAAAAAAATAAATCTCATAGCCATCTCATTTTACAAATTCCACGACATAGGCGACATCTACAATACAGGATGATGGGCAGATTTTGATACAAATCCAAAAAGTTAAGGTGGTAAATTATAGATGGCGCTTAATCTGAAAGCCAAATATCACTGAACCGGGCATGTGTAATAAAATCTTCATAGATGGCGTTGTAATCAAACCTCTCGATAAAAACTGAAAGATTGAGAAATTATAGGTTGGTAATTTTTGTGATCTGATGTGTACTGAACTGAAACTTGTATTCAACCAAAGTGTTGATACACTAGAAATAATTACTATAACCTTAGTACGCCGAGCATTGTCACACTAAACTTCTCTTTTATGTAGGAACAACCGAAAACAACTTAAAATATTGGGAATCAAATATAATCCTGTTATTTCTCATCTTTATTTATTCTAGTTAAGCGTAATTTTACAATTTTTAAAACAATCTTGAATAAAATAAAGTAAAAATTCAATAACAGATTCTTTTGAGATATTAATAAACAAAAAAAAAACGTAATTATCAAATTGACACGAATATTAGACGGAAATGGAACGAATTGTTATCTGAATGTTTAGTTTGAAATATTAATATTAATAATCGTACTTATGGTATTGTATATTAAACGATTAAACATGTAATATCAACTACATTACTTGGTTAAATATTAGGGGCTAGTCCACCGTATACTGACATCATTTTTTAATAAGGATATGAAGTATTAAATCCCTATTCCTAATTGTAAATCAATCACCGAATACCTTTACTCCTCGACCTTTCAAACCGACATCCCTCAGGCAAACTTGCCTTAGTCAACGCATAGTTATATTATCGTATATATAACATGCATTAGGATTACTAACAGATAGAATGTGAAGCTTGACTCGATAGAATAAACGACAAATATGAAGCGTAACGTCTTTTTCCTGTCTCTTCCTTTCTATGTAACGTATGTACAGATCATTTTATTGACTTAGTGACCAACTCGCTCGTTGCCACTGTTTATAATCAAAATTCTTAAATGTATTGTAAACATTCAGTCTTAAGTTAAATTGAGATCGAATCTACGCGAAGTTTAAATATTTAGGAAATCTTAATCATGAATTAATAATAAATTAATGGGTATAATAATAAGATCTGTCCGCATTTAAACTTATAACAAAGCTACTTTATACAAAAAAGTCATAAAATATCAAAAAAATAACATTATACGCAAAAAAATTGTGCAAACTTTTAAATTAACTTAAAATTAAAGATTTTAAAATGCACTTTTAGTACATCATTAGGATAACATATCACATGTTTGTAAAAAGATCACATTGAACGAGAAATTTCCATTGCCGAAACACCTTAACTAAAGACGAGTTGTCTCTGTTTTTTTAAAGAGATTGAGCGAGATGACAATATGTGTGTTTCCACATTGGAATAGCAAGTCGTCAGATTGGTTCCAGCTAGTAGAAAGGCGGAAAGGGAAACCTTATCTGACATACATTGTAATAAAGTTAAATATGTAGATACAGTTAAAAGGACACTGTAATGTACCATACCTACATTTTAATCTTCTACTCATTACACGTAAATTTAAACTTATACAACTATGTATTTGGCAAACGCACATTGAGATAAAACTCCTTAAGATTAAAACACACAAAGCGTTGGTTATATCTATGTATACGGTGTCCAGAAATGAAGTGTACAACGGAGTACAATGGTTACTAATTTTTTAAAACTCTAGCTGTTGCCCACGACTTCGTCCGCGTGAGATTTAAATGTTCAAAACTTAGGTTTGTCCCTTTTTTGAACCTATGACCTAAAGTTATTAACTTCGTAGTAATCTACGTAATGACAGAAATCTACCGATGCAAGATTCCAAACTTCTAAACCCGGTAGCTTGTACCCTGATTTTTTGGTTACCCTGATTTTGGTCGCGATATCTTCTAAACTATGTAGAATAAAGGACAAATTTATTCTACATTAAATTCTCCCGACAACAAATGCATTTATTTGGATAAGGATTAATAGAAAAACCAATAAAACGTCGCCGCAAATAACACGAGGTTTATTGATTTCTATAAACAAAAAGTGGTTATTGTAAGCAAAACGTTAAAGGTATCTACTTTTAACGATTTGCTTACGATAACCATAAAAAGTCCGTTATAGCATATATCTACTCGCATGTGATATAACGGACTTTTTTGTAGAACTTTTTGAGATCTACAATTCTGTCATACATCATTTATAATTTTAACGATGTAGGCAGCGTAAGCCGAGAATAGTTAAAATATAGTGATATTTTAACTCCGCGCTCGAGAAATACGCTTTTTATTAATAGTTCCAAAATATTGGTAATAATCGAATATAGCCTATGTTACTCACAGATAAATTACCTTTCTAATAGTGAAAGATTTATTTAAATCGACCCAGTAGTTTTTACGTGAATCAAATACATGCAATAACCTAAAAACCAAATCTTTCCTCTTTGTAATATTAGTATAGATACAGGGTGATTCTTAACAGCCCGATCAACGGTTTTGTGGAGGTAGAGGATCTCATTAGGTATCATTTAAAAGGAAAGTATGTTGCCCGATTTTCTATAGTTTTAAAAATTATTTAATTTAAAAAAAAAATTCAATTTTTTTTATTTAGTTTTCGTGTGCGTTTTTGGGGGCCGTGGCATTCTGTGTCCTCTTATTGGAAAGTTTCTGCCCTTAAGTCGCCACGCTGGGCATGAGGGTTGGCGACTAGGAAGTTTAACGTCGTACCCAGGTCGCGTTATTCCAAAAAAGGGATAACTGTACGAAAGCATAATAATTAGACTTGTTAAAAAAAATACTACCATAAACACGTTACTTTGGACGTACAACGTGTGGTCAAAATTTAAATCGGAAATCTGATTTTACCGATTTTGTTTTTACAAAATATTAAATAACATAAAAACTATAACGGGCAACATACTTTGCATTTAAATTATAGCTATTGAGGTCCCCTACACCTACAAAACCGTTGATCCGTCCGTAAAGAATCATCCTGTAGATTATAAGAAATGTTAAGTTAAATAAAATATTAAAAAAAATGTTACCTTAGTTTTTAAAGACTCATCCAAAATATGATAAAAATATGCTCGAATTTTGTTTTAATATTTCTGTTTTATAGACTCCTGTTGACTTTACAAAAAAGGCTTGTTCTACAAAAATGTGTAAATTAACAAACGAAAGCCATGGTTTTAAAATGAGTAAAATCTACGAGTATTAAAGACTTTTCGAGATCTTTAGATAAATGTAAAATCATACTAAACGAGAAGAGTTGAATATATGTCCCCAAAATGGTTTACCAGAACTCAATCTAGTATAGATATAAAATATAGTCTTGAGTTACACAAGACATACTTTAGAACGTTTTCTTTTACTCCTGCGTAGATAAAGTCGCTGGGCAAAAGCTATCAATAAGCTTTAAAGGTTTGTAGCTCCTGGAATCTATAGTATTCTTTTGTACACGTCATTTCTGGTCACACTACAATTTTATCGCTGACTGTACCTTACCATTGACAACAACATCTATCCTATAAATATGGTATATACTACTAAGAAGTATGTTGTATTTTTATAGCCGAAAAAAAAACGTTTTTTTTTACTACTAAAGTCTGAGATAGTCAGTTCACACAAAATCGTGCAATATAATTATCAATGTTTGGTAAAATTTAAATTTTTTAAATAACTTGAATTTAAAAAATAAACAAGAAACCCGACTGACGGAGTCTCTAATAGATGAAATGACGTCATAGGAAATATATATTTTTTTAACTAAATAAACTCAAAGTTTGATTTAAAATACCCTATGACGTTCCGGGGAAGAAGACGCTTGAAATGATGTCAACGACGTACGAAGTTACATACATATGAACCCATTAATAAATTTGCATATGCGAGAAAATCGCTAACTACCCTTTCTTCAGTCAGGAGAAACAAAAACAATGTGGGAAATTGAGAGGGAAGTTGCGACGGAACTTGAGTTGGGTGTTAGACGCGATTATCGATATCGGCGCAGCAAACAGGGCAGATCTGGAGTTTCCCTGCGCAGCTTTTACAAAAACAGCTGAAATAGATGAAAATAAATCTTACTAATCTTACTAATATTATAAATGCGAAAGTTTAGATGGATGGATGGATGGATAGATGGATGGATGGATGGATGGATGGATGTTTGTTAGCGTTTGTAGTCTAAACGGCTGAACGGATCTCCATGAAATTTGGCACAGGTTTAGAGCATAGTCTGGAAGAACACATAGGCTACTTTTTATCCCTGGAATAGTTACGGTTCCCGTGGGATTCATTAATTTAGTTTTTTAATGTTTACTCGATCATTCTGCAACAGTTCAACATATCTTATTGAAATTTGGCACAGATATAAAATAAAGCCTGGAGTACACATGGGATAAGCTTCATCCCCAAGAAATGTCCGGTTCCCGAGGGATACGTAGCTTTTTGTAATTTCTATAATTTGTATGTTTTCTAATACCACGCGTACAAAGTCGCGGGCAACAGCTCGTTATATATAAATTCAACGTTTTAGTTATTACGTAAGTGAAGCGACAAGTGCACTTGTACTCGTATAACCATGAATTTCTGATATTAATACACTTAAGCAGAAACATATAGGCTAATTACAAAAATGTTGGAAAATGAAACTGTTATGCAGAGAAACTGTTTTTTCGGACAATAAAAGATTTTTTGCACAATAGTTTTGTAGAATGAGGTAGTTCTGCCGCGCAGAAAGACTGTCTTTGAGAGAGGTCGTCTTATTTCATAATTGAATGATGAATGTGTAAGTTTTGAGATACTTACGTATGGCCGCAAGGAAGCAGTTTTGTGTCAGCGATATTATCGTAGCATAGAATGCATGCGTCGCTGCTTTCATTGAAGTTCGAATTTTCCGATTGAAACGTTGTTTTGGATTTCACCTGCAGCAAGATATAATCACCATTAAAATAATATCAACATCATCAACTCTCCTGCCTTGTCCTACTCCCGTAGGGTTGGCGCAACGGGTTTTCGTCCTCCAAAGCATTCTATCATCCGTCATCTCAGTCATCACTCCCTTCTTGATCATGTCACCTTTCACGCAATCCATCCATCTCTTTCTACTTCTACCTCTACCGATGTACCCCTCCACATTCATAACTAACATCCTTCTTGTTACATGCGATTCATCCCTTCTCATAACATGCCCATACCACTTTAACCTTTTACTCCTTATTTTCTCAACCACTGGGGCTACTCTCAAACTTCCTCTTATATACTCATTTACAACATAATATCTACGAAATCATTAAAATGGCATTGAATATAACATATAAGTGAGATCTTCTACATGAGTTAAAGGAGGAATTGTCGATTATTCAAAAACCGAACCATTGTCGTGGCTCGACCCAACCCTATATTAGAAGTGACTAGGTCTATTAGGTTATGGATAATCACCATCTTCTCTTCTGCAGCGAGTTGACAGGCAGCATTAAAAGTCGAGAAGTTCGCCTCAGGTGGAGTGTGGACAAATGGCTTGGCGCCGAAGTTAAATCGGCATTGTTGGTACGGGGCCAAAGTTACGACCGGGAAGTAAGATGTCTCGGTCCTGTGTCAATGTTAAGATAGACATTATTATCAAAAATGTAATATTATTAGCGCCACACAAATTTATCTATCAAAAATAAATGAACGAAATGAAAAGACAAAATCATTCACCCGCAAGCAAGATCATCATCAAATAAATCAGGCGCAGTTGTCATGATGGTTGTGTCTTCAAGCACGAGGTAAATAGTTTTTTGGTCTATGTTTATGAAAAACCCCACTACATCGCCGGCCTTCCAAAAAGGCGGATCATCCAGGGTTTGTTTCTCAGAATTGGTCCACAGGCACTTGACGCTGCCGTCGTAGCCAACAGAATTGGCGTCCGAACCAACGACATAATCATCGCTCTGTAAATCGATAATTACACATGTTAAAAAAAAAAAATCAAATCAACTCTCTTCGAGAAAATAGACGCATCAAATGATGACTCATCAGAATCACGACAGATTCTTGGCTACAGTGGTTATGATGAAACAATCATTAGTGTTTGTTGGGTTGTATTCAAAACAACATGCATATTATGGTGCACTTTTATTCAAAGACATGCCCCTCAAAAACATTACCTACCAATATGTCAGTTGGGAAAAAAAATATAGAAAACAAAAAAATAAACGCACTTTATTTTTGTTCCTTATTTATAATTTGTAATAAGAATAAAACTAATATTTACCATATCGGCCTTCGATGACGCAAAGCCTATGCGCATCGGACCTAAAGATACCAGGGACGTTTCATAATACCAGGATCCAAGGCATGCCTCTCCTGTCGCGCGCACCGTACCATACTCATTGGTATCGCAACGGACTTCGAGTCCGTCCGGAGAGATTTTCATAAAATAACCAGTGCATTGGCTTAATGTTACATTAATGCCACTCATATCAACAGATAAATAAGTAGGATCTCGTCCCGGCACCGTAACTGTAAATAGAATAACATCTTGAAAATTATAAGGTAAACCCAAGTGATTTTCACTACAATAGGAGAAATTATGTCATAAATGATAGTATACATGATACACACATGCCAGGAGTACACTTGCAAGCTTTACTAGCTTTACTAGCTTTACAAGCTTTACAATTTGCGATTTCGTTTTCAAAAGGAAAGAATTCCTCTTTAATATGGACATTTTACCATGCTGGTAATCCTAAATGCTCAGAGGCGCCATCCTGTCAATGTCAAAAAGATGCCACAATATCCTTGCGGCACTATACTTGACATGACACTACGTGCATTATATTGAGTGAGGGGTCGAGGCGGTACGAAGCTTAATACTGACAGCGCTTGCGTCTTACGGTCACATTGTCTTTATACTGGCTTGTGTTTACGCATTAAACCAATAGCCTGCAGTATTTATTGACCTTTATTTACCTTTGATCTATAACTTTACATTACATCTTCATACTGCTACACTAAAGAGCAAAGAAGTGAATATATGTATTCGTGCACCTCCCTTTATTGTGATGAACATAATGCGTACGGGACTTACGGGAGTGCAGACTACATTAGCATTGTAGGGATTTACTCGTAATACTATAAGCACTTACAAGTGTTATCCAAGGCCCATCTGGCGCAAAATCCAACTTGATACTGTATATAATCTTCGGACGTTAGGAAATCCATCAGATTGATTAAAGGGTTTTGATTCATCTGTTGGAATGCAGCGACAATTTTTATTTTATTTTCCGAAGTGATGGCGAACTTCTCTATGGCAATTAATGCCATGAGTATCTGCAGAGGACTACGCCGATGTATCTATAAGAAAAGTTGGTTAAAAATTTATCGTTACTCTTTTTGCCCTTTTTGAGCTTTTGTACTGCCACCAGTTATTTTGGAAATCAAAACATTTTCTGTTAACAATCCTAGTTATTTAGGCAAAATAACAGACAAAAAAAAAAGAAAATATTGTGGTAACGTTTTTCCAAACTCAAAAATTTAACTTTTGTGTTGTATAATTTGAACATACGAGTATATTCGGTTACTGAGCTTGTTCAAGTTAATTGGTTTATAGTTAAACTTAAAATACATTGAAAACTTACAAGAAATCGAAGCAGATAATTCCAAACATTAGTTGTGAATATTTCCTCACTGAACACCCCTGCCATCTTGTGTGCCAAGCAGCCAAGCACCGCACAGATATTTACGTCTAGTTTGCGATAGTAAAAGAAACTATCCGAGCGCAGCTCTGACAATTGATATTGAAGGGCAAATACCTAAACAAATTTTAATGTTACCATGTTATATTGTTTAGATGTAGAGTTTTTTAGCGTAAACGGCCGGACGGATCTCGATGAAATTTGGTATAGACATAGAGGATAGCCTGAAAGAACACATAGGCTACTCACCTCTGCTATTTTATCCACGCGGCCGAAGTCACAAGCGAAAGCTAGTAAATAATACAATTTCTTACCTCGCCAACGGTCGCTGCAGAAGGACAAGGCATCTCCTTAATCATTTCATTTATGACAACAATCGCATAACTAGGCATTTTACGTACAATATATTGTATAGCATGCGTCCATTTAGCTTCGTCTTGCGTAATCGTAGAGAGTGCGGACATCACTAGGGAAGGTCCGATCGGTCTGAAATTAATGAACGTTTACATAGCATAAACTAAAAATAACTGCATTACTTGAAATTTTATTTATTAAAACGTAACAACTATGTAGTAGGGGGAGGCAAAAACATATCACACCTTTTATACATACTCGTAGATAACCTCAAGTTGCAAACATCCAAGAATCCTGACTCAATGCCTACTTATAATAACCGACGATTTAAGCCAAGCATATGTTTAGAGTTAACAAATTAGAGGTCACCATTTTATCAAAACGAAATGCTATAACTTCTGAGAGCCTATAGATACAGCTTACTAAGGAAGTGTCCCCCACTTCCCTACTATCATCTTGGTATGTTAGATGCGTCAACAATAACACCAAAGGCAGTAAATAGCTGTTAATTCTTAGGCAGTCTTATTTTTACAACATAAGGTGGCAAACGAGCAAGCGATCACCTGGAACCGTCAAAATGGCGAAGCAACTGCTGCCCATAGAAATCCGCAATAGCAGATGCGTTGCCTACCCTTATTGACGGAGGAGAAAACACACATAGAGAGGATATTTCCCTTTCTATGCGTCTTCTTCACCGTCAAATCCGAGATCCCTTCCCATCCGTTTCTTATAAGAAAAAATGTGCGAAAGAGAAGGGATTAAAGTTGGACCTCCGGCACTACAATCATCAGACGAAACACGGAATTGCTTCCACTTCACGCCTTTCTTCTATGTGGTCGTGGTATTTCACCGGGAGAGCCGGCCCATTCACTATACACTTGTTGATGATATAAAAAAATAGAAAAAAAACACTTACACAGAACCGAAGTCACTAACATCTTCTGAATGCAAAACTAGGAGGTCCACAATTCCCTCCAGTATTTCTCCTTGAAAATGACTTAGAAACTCTTCATCATCCGTGATGTTCATGATGACGCAAAAGCGCGGTGGTATTTACCTATAAGAAATACTTTTCTTTAATATAAGTAATTAGCAAACACCATAAACATTCAGACGGATTGACTGCGACTGTTAGTAAACTCAGTACAATCAACTAAACCACCTCCATTCATTCTTCTTTGTTGTCCTAATAGCTAACATCTTATCAATCTAATACTTGTATAGGATGAGCTAAAGAATACGGTTTATTAAAGACTTTTGATATTAAAAGTCTTCGAAAACTGCGAATTAGATGTTTATATCCTTATATAAAAATCTATCGGCAAATGGCAGTCGGTGTTGCCATTACAGTCGAGTTGTGCGCCCTAATAAGTCCATTGGTTAATCTCTCTAAATCTGTGCAATCCGGTAAGATATTGTTGAGCAGTTTTCAATAATTGTTTAAGATCTATGTTAATGATATTATGCGATTAATATTTCATCATCTCCTACATCATCGGGCACAATGGAGGATAAAATTTGCCACGCAGATGGTCCGGCTTAGAAATTTACGGAAATGTATGAAATTCTCAAGTTTAGCTCATAATCAAGGAGCGGGGAGGATTACGAGTAGTCGATGATCAATATTGGTTCTGTTATTGTTAAAATAAGACAAACCTACATGGAGGTAAAAAATGTCACAAAAGGGCGGTGCCAGTGAGCACGCATATTTCCTTATAAGAAAAGGGTGGTAAAGAGAAAAGGACTAAAATTAGGCCTACGGCACCACACTCATCAGTCGAAACACGGAATTGCTTCCATTTCACGCCTGTCTTCTGTGTGGTCGTGGTATTACACCGGGCGTGCCGGCCCAGTCGTGCTAAGATGTTAAAGCGGGCACTACCACTGTTAATCTTCTTCTTACTTCGCTTCTTCTTCTTCTTTCTCTTCATTTCGCTAAATATGTCCAAAAGTGTAAAATACAGAACGACGCAGATGTTTTTTTTTCTAACCTATTCAGTAAGCCCAATATTCAAATAATCCCTCTGTTTTATAATAATGCTAAAATAGTGGATTCCAATGTATTTAGCATCTATTAATGCGCCGTATGATACTATGCAAAATGGCGTCCTTATATAAACCATTAAGAATTTGATGTACATTTCAAATTTTTATATTGAAAAATGACAAAGCAAGTGGACGCCTTTTGCCGATAAAGTCACTTTAATCGGTAGAAGCAGGACACACAAAGAGGGGATATTCCCCTTTTCTATGAGTCCCCTTTTCCGCCTCCGCCATCTTTTCCTTATTAAAAAAAAGGTGGAAATGGAGAGATGACTTGGAAATTAGGGGTTCCGACATGCACACGTATGCCCACTTATGATAAAAATATTATTGCGGGCTTTTCCACTGTAAAAATGGATAATTTCAGCAAAATAGAAACGGTATTAGCATGATCATTATTGTTCAAGGACATTTATTGGACAGCGGAATTCCATTGCTGATATTCAAGAAAACTCAATATTGTTTCTTTTTTCAGTAGTAATCTACTAATTTAGCAACTAAAGATAATAGAAATAACATACCTTTCTTAGATTTACGTTGGAGCAACAAACTGCAACAGGCGTGCCTGTTGGAAGAAAATCAGTATGAAACGTAGATGTTTTTACTCTGTGCTTGGTATTGATTTTCCTTCGAAAGGCGTGTCTGTTCAAAGAAAATCAATATCAAACGCAGGCGTTTTTAGTGTGTGCTTGATATTAATTTTATTATAGATAGAGCTAAAATCATATTCATAAACCTAATTGTTATACGATTAGATGGTACTCGTTTCTACTGTAATTGAATGACCATTAATTATCTTGTCCAATTTCTAGCTATCAAGCGCCGAAGTTGGAAAATACAGTTGATTTATTTTCACTTATGTGTTGAAAATATGATAAGAATACCTAAATTACTAACAGATAATTTACGTGGGCCGTATTCTCATAGCCTCCCGAGCATCCTATATAGAAATTATAACTAATTACCTTTTGAGCGTTAGGAACCGTGTAAACTATAGCGCAAGTGTCGTCTACCGGGACCTCAGTCTATTATCCCTTCCCCGTTTGTAATTTATTGATTTTGCTGTCGCTACGCCCAGCCTAGATATCAGTTCTTTAATAGAGTTTTAAGTTCAGCTGAATATATTTACAATGTTATAAATTTTGCTTGTTAATTATAACATAATTATAAGTAATTTATTCCTGTTAGTTGATACAAATACATATCTGTTTGTAATAAAGTTTAACATTTACGGCTACCGGTAATCTATGGTCGACCATTGTTGGTTATAGACGAATGGACTAAGCAAATTACTGGAGCTGAAGACGATGATAATCACATATGCACATGTCATGTTAGCAATTCATCATCATCTCTCTTACTTATCCGTTATTCCGTTTTTCTGTAATCAAAGATTTTATTTTTTTGACTTCCTTACGCGATACCTTGTCTATGCAAATGTCTATGATCTGTACTTTAAAAGCTGTAGTTTATAGTGTCTAAATAATTTAGATTAGTTTGACGTTTCATTTCAAATTTAGTAGGGATGGATGTGTAACATCAGTCATTAATCTTATCAATTTTCCATTTCTATTCTTATAGAAGTTGGAATCGATGATGTATAGTTATAACTTTTGAAATACAAAAAAAAACTGTTTTCTCAAAATAATCTTGACCATAACAAATAATGAGCGTAAATAAATGTTTATTACTACTACAGCCGTACGTAATCAAATTGGATTTCGGTATTATTTCTGTCATCGCTAAATTCTCTACATTATAATCAATACTAGAATTGTCCTCTAAATTAGTGAATAAGAAAGTAAAAGTAGTTGAGTTTGATAATTATTTAAATCGAATATCGATAGTTCAAAATTGTTCGCTATGTGTGTTTGTTTCGTCACTACAATACCTGTCTATTAAGTATGGCATTAACTTTCATACAAATTGAATTCGATACTTCATATGCGTCATTTATCAAACTAATCTAATTTATTTAGACAAACTATAGTGCCACATGGATACTGTAGCATCGTTTTGACATTGACAAAAGGGCGCTTAAGAGCATTTAGGGTTACCAGCAAAGTATTATTTCCACATTTAAGGATATTCTTCCGCTTTGAATACAAAATCGAAAACATGTTAACAATTTGCAACTTATGACGCGTGTGACCGTATTAGAAATTTTGTACATTGATAAATTATTGCAGCTTTAGAGCTTTATTCAAAGACGAGGTACACTTTATACTTTTTTGTTCAGAATTAAGAATAACGACTAAACGTAATTTAGCATCATGCTCATAGCCATAATATCAAAAATAAACTGTTGTATGTAATGTTATATATTTACTAAATCAGCTCATGTGACATTTTTTCTGGAATCTAGAAATTATAAAAATGACGGCATTCTCTCGTGCTTTAGCGTTACCTCATTGGTCAAATGACACTTCCAAGATGACATTGTTAGTTTACAAAATTGCCGGGTGGCATATGATCCTTGCAGAATCTAGACCTAAAATTGTTAAAACAGTGACAGTGACAGTGACAGTGACTGATGACGTTTCGTTTCCAGCTTGTTAACCGTTTGTTTACATTTATGGAAAAGTCGTTGTTAGCCAAAACAGACGCCCTCTTTTATAATTCATGATTGCTTTTAAAAGAGATAATTTTACTAAAGTCTTACAACAATGCGAACGGTACCAAAATGGGTTAATAAGATCCATGAAGCTGACAAAGTTGAATCATCAAGGTAATCTTTATTGTTTAGTTTTAATATAAAATAATCTTTACATACTGGTGGTAGGCATAATCTTAATAGCTGAGCATACTTTTGGCCATATATTAGATAACCACTCGTGTAGATCTAGACTACTGTTAATAGTAAAATAATAACCTACACACTAAATCATATAATATTTATTTAGTTATGTTTGAAAATGTGACAAAATGAAATGTGGATTCTTTCTTTTACTGTCGTCTATCGAGCCCCAAACCAATATTAGGCAATATCTGTAATGAGATAAGGTTTGTATTTTTGTATATAACAAATGTATTGGACAGATTTAATATAGGCTTACCTTGTTTAATTCTGCTTGAATTGAGTTACAAGTAAAACTAGTATTCAAAAAAAGTTTTGTTTCAGTGTCCATGCAATATGCTTCAATCCTGAAGGTACACAGTTGGTTGTTGGTGCTGGTGAGAAAGTTATGGTTTATGATCCAAGAGATGGAGCATTGGTACAACTTCTTCAAGCTCATAAAGCCCCCGTGTATGCTGTTGCATATTGTGGTGACGGGAAAAAGTTTGCAAGTGGTAGTGCAGACAAAAATGTTATAATATGGACATCTAAGATGGAAGGGGTTGTGAAATATTCGTAAGTTTACTTGTGCCTTATAATTGTTGTTTATTTTTTTTTTATTTCCATCACTTCTGAACTGTCTTCTTTAGAGTTCTGATATCACAAGTACAGGACATTCAACAACAGATGTTGGTTTGCAGTCTACCGCTGCTACAAATAATAAACAATTATATTCCTCTGTATAATTTTAGTATGCATAATTTGATTAAGAAGAAAAGAAAAAACCTAACCTAAATATTCTTTTTGTAAATCTATATTTACCGTGATGTATATTTAATTCCAGACACAGTGAATCCATCCAATGTTTGGCATATAATCCTGTTTCTCTACACTTGGCATCTTGTGCTTTATCAGACTTTGCGTTCTGGTCCGCTGATGTGAAGGCGGTACAGAAGTATAAGGTGTCTGGTCGCATCACAAGTTGCGCTTGGTCAGAGAATGGACAGTTTTTAGCTATTGGGCTTGCCATTGGTGCAGTATCTTTGAGGAATAAAGTAAGTATTGTTTGAATAACATTTTTTATTATTTATAAAATATTAAAGCTATAGCCCTAAATAGAAAAAAAAAATCTAACAAAACACAGATTAAAATATCTTTAAACATGATATTTCATTATTACAGATCGGAGATGAAATACAGTTAATACAAAGAGAAGCACCCATATGGGCTGTGGCATTCTCAAATAACACACTATTAGTCACCGACTGGAATGAAACAATGTCTTTTTATAATGTAAAGGGTCAACAAGTATTAAAAGATAGGTTTTTAGGTAAGAAATTGTTAATTATTAGATTAATTTGATTCATGGTTGGGGTACAAGATACTCACTTATAAGGATATGTTTAGAGTCTTCATCAAAGTTAAGCATACTTAACAAAATTTATATGTAAAAAATAGGGTATTTATTCTTATCTAGTGTTGAAGTGTTCTTAGACTTTGATAAATTCGTTTACCTGTGTGTGCTCAACAGCAGTTTGTTATTATCTTATACTAGCTGTACCCGTGCGACTTGATCCACATAAAATTATGAACATTTTATTTTGTTGTTTACATTTGTCAAATTATCAATAGCAAATGTCAAAATGACTTATCAAGACAAACCCTGGCAGTCTTTCTTCCTTGATGTTGGCAGCAACTTATGGTCTTTTTCCCACATTAGGGTTTTTATCCAAAACATTTACCTCCCAAGTTTAATGGCGTGAAAAAATGTAGTCTAGAGCGTGATGTAAATGTAGGGTTTTTTTTAATAAAGAATTATTCAAAAACATGATGTAATTGCTGACATCTTAGGCAACAAAGAAGTGTGTGTATGCTTAATTATAATAATATAGATATAGTTTATATTGGTTGGAATAAGTTGACTGATTTGCAAGTTTGTTTAGTTTTAACTTAAATTATGTTTTTGTGATTTCAGGTATAGCAGCATTGTCGATATCAATATTCGAGGCACTTGTACTCGTTGGCGGCATGGGTGGGTGGGCGTTGCTGACAACTGAGGGTGTTGTAATGATGAAGACTCCACAAGATTGGGTGTGGTCGGTCGCACCATCTCCCGCGCAAAATACTATGGTTAGTTATATTGATTATGTATCATCATCCACTTGCCCTTATCCCTTATGGAGGGTTGGCTCAGTATTATATTGATAATAATAATATAATTATATTGATTATGTATATTTTATCTTAATGTTTACAGTTCAATTTCATAAATTGAACTGTAAACATTAAGATAAAATTAGCCGGAGGCCTAATTTAAGTCCCTTTCACTTTACCACCCTTTTCTTATGAGGAAAGGTTGGAAAGGGGAAGTGGATTAGACGGCGTAGGAGATGCATAGGAAGGGGAAATATCCTTTTTATGTGCGTCTCCTCCTCCGTCGTATAAGGGTAGGCAACGCATCTGCAATTGCGGCTGTCTATGGGCAGCGGTCGCTTCGTCATTTCGGCGGATTCTAGTGGCCGCTAGCTCGTTTGTCACCTTATGTTATATAAAAAAAAATATGTAAATAATAACAATAGTAAATATAATAACATGCTGTTTAGTCATATATAATAATAAAGATTAGTATTTGATATTATTGCAGTTATTTACTTTTTTAAAGACTAAATGTAGACATGTGATTTAAAACAAACCTTACTTACATTCTCCTTGTGTCTTCTTACTGCATCAATTAACGGTTGCCAACGCAAAATGATTTTGTGGATGCCTATGGGCAGTGATCACTTCGCTGTTTCGGCGGCCTTAGTGTAATGTGTTAAAGAAATTAGATATAGTTAACTTTTTTATGTATTATCCTTTTTAAATAAATTTAATTAATGTAATCACTGTAATCTAGAGATGTTATCTACATGTTTTTTTTATCTATTTACCGGTATGCCTAAATCTCAAACAAGAGAAATATTTTTTACTAGCTGTTCCCGTGCGAATTCATTCGCATAAAATTATGAAAATTGTTCTATTGATTACATTTGTCAAATTCAATTGCAAATGTCAAAATGTCAGACATGACATGATGACAAACCATAGCAATTTTGCTTCCTTGATGTTGGCAGCAACTTACGGTCTCTTTCCCACATTAGGGTTTTTATCCAAAATATTTACCGCCTGAATTTAATGGCGTGAAAATATATAGCCTAAACCGTTACGTAAGTGTAGGGCTTTTTTATCAAAAAAAGAACTATTCAAATATATGGTGTAATTGCTGACATCTTAGGCAACAAAAAAGTGTGTGTTTACGGTTTATTATAATAGTATAGATATAGTGTTTGTGTTATTACTAATTACATAAATAAATATTTCAGGCAGTGGCGTGTCAAGATGGTACATTATGGTGTTATCAAATAGTATTCAGCACAGTCCATGGGTTGTATCGCGAAAGATATGCTTATCGTGAGAACATAACTGACGTCATAATACAACATTTAACAACTGGTAACAAGGTTCGGATCAAATGTCACGACAGAGTTCAGAAAATCGCTATATATAAACATAGATTAGCGGTAAGTAATATTTTAAAGTGAATATTGTATTATGTAATATTTAATTCCAAGCGGTCAAATTCGCGTGCGATTATATGTAAATGAGTGTTACTATTTTTAGGTGCAATTACCAGAGAGGGTGGTTGTTTATGAACAAGGAGATCCAGAAGGGATGATGTATAGGGTGAAAGAGAAGTTGCCGCAGAAATCAGAATGCTCCCTCCTTATAGCAACAAGCGACGCTTTGCTACTTTGTCAGGTAAATATTGTACAAAACTAACGAACACACTTCCGACACAATCATCTCTAGATATATTGTCATCTCGATTAATTTGCTTAAAAAACAGAGACAGCAATGTTAGTCTGTGATTATGTCTATATTTTTTTTTATATCATAAGGTGGCAAACGAGCAAGCGGGCACCTGAATCCGCCAAAATGGCGAAGTGCTGTTGCGCATAGACATTTCCAATAGCGAATGTGTTGGCTACCCTTCATCGACGGAGGAGGAAACGCACATAAAGAGGATATTTCCCCTTCCTATACGTCTCCTCCACCGTCTTCCAAGTACCCTTCCCATCCTTTGACAAATTAGCGGGTCCTAGAGTGTTCGTTTGGCTAAGGCAAAATAACTGTAGCGCACTTTATTGTTTTTTTATTTATTTCATGTTATATAGTTATGTTTAGTTTTTTTTTTGTCGTGGAAAGGATTGAGCCTTATGTTTTGTTGTGGATTAACACAAACTGATGTTAATGAACATATTCTTACTAATATTATAAATGTGAATTTTTAGATGCAATCAATCAAAACGGCTTAACAGATTTCGATGAAATTTAGCATAGATGTAGAGGATAGTCTGAAAGAACATATCGGCTATACTCACTTTTGTTTTTTATTTCACGCGGATGAAGTCGCGGGCGAAAGCTAGTTAAGAATGTGAAGTATATTGATGCATTTATTATTACGTTAAATTGTGTTTGAAGATGGGCGCAGCATTTGCATATAGCTAGAACTGTCGCAGTATTGCTTAATTATTAACTATTACTTGTTAATAAGAGATGCAGTTATATAATAATGTGAGTCATTATACAAATAGTTTAATTTAGACGTTGCTTGATAGAGATGAAAAAAATTCTGATGTTAAATGACCTAATGCTCACCTAAACAATATTCTGAATAGATTCATAATTGTTTAGGTTTAAATTCACTTTCCTATGAAATATGAACAAAGAGGAATGTATTTATGCGGGGCAGATTCTTATGAATGTTAGTGTTATGCGAATCAAATACAGATGGAAATGTATTAAAAATATTTATAGAACAAAGAACTGAATAGATTAGCTGGTTAACTATAAAAGTCATGTGCGAATTTTGTGCATTTTTTATTATAATCATTGTAAGCCGCTTGAATATTTAAGAATTATTTTACTATAGGAATGATTAACGAGGCTTTAGCGCAAGATATTCCGTATGTCCTGCACATAAAATAGTCTGTACGAATATTATAAAGAAGAAAGATTTGTACTTTTTTATGTATTGAAATAACTCAAAAACTACTAGGTAGATTTTAAAACTACTTTTAATATTAAAAAGCTTTGTTATCAGTGAGTGACAGGGGCCATGTTTTTCATTATTTTTTAATTTCACGCGGACGTAGTCACGAGCAACAGCTAGTATTAAATATAACGGACAGGGAATATGTTAAATGTAACTTATTTAAAAGATCCATTAAAGCTGTTGCGGCTCTTGCAAGTAGGATGAGTTTAGAGATAATAATGATTGTATGAAATGGCGACTGTGTGTTCTATGTTATACAATTTTTTACTGAATGCGATTTATTTCTAGTATTAAATTAGGTTTTATTGGTAATGCATTACAAAAGGCAATTGGCTGTAAGTGTAACTGGCAGTGTGTAAATTTCTCTTTTTATTAAACGGGAATATTAGAATAACAGATGTATTGTTAGCATTATAAAGATTTAGAGTGATCAATGTAAAAAAGATGTGGCAGGACCGTTAAAACTGTAGCATCTCTAAAAAGGAAAGTAACAAAGTTCTTTATTTTATCCAGATTATGTTGTCTATCAAAATAGTTTGATGCAACAACTCTTGTTATTTTTTTTTATTGTTTGATCGTCTTTTGTCGAGTATTAATTTCTTTATTGCGTATTGCTTTTTCCCAGTATAAGTATGCGAGATTCATGTCAATCGTGAAATAAGCGCCCAAGCGAATGAGATCTGTGTCTAGTGTGATTATTTTAAAATTGCTTTATTAAGCGAATTTTTATACACACAATTTTGCAGTCGATGGTATTATTTAAACACGATTTAATTAGCGAAAGTTATTTATTTACCAAATTAACATAATTTACTATCCCTTGTGTTATCAATACAAAGAAATAATTGTAAATCACTAGCTTTCGCCTGCAACTCTGTCCCCGTGGAATTAAAAAAAAATTGAAGTGAATAGCCTATGTGTTCTTCCAGATTATCCTCTACATCTATACCAAATTACATCGAAATCCGTTCATCTGTTCAGGCTACAAACTCTTACAAACATCCATCCTTCCATCTAAACTTTCGCATTTATAATATTAGTTTGTTTACAAGATTGTACGCTCAAGCGATTACAAAAATACAAAGTTTATAATCATAAATGTATTTATCAATGGGAAGTAATGTTTATTAATTACTTAATTTATTTTATACACTTTACAGGATAATAAGTTGTCGGTGATCGGGAAAAAAACTTCAAGTTCATGGTCTTTTCCTGCACCGATTCGCTACGTCAAAGTTACTACAATATATTTTATGGAAGTTCTTCTCTTAGGCCTTCTTAATGGGCAGGTAAATGTTTTAGAAAAAGTACAGTTGTCAAATTTTTAAGGTTTAGAGCGGGCGCACACTTTTAAGTAAACAATCGCACAACTGTTGTGCGATTGTCGATTGTTTCGCAGCCAATTCAACTGTTTAGTTGCTGAACTGAAAATGGAATAGTGTGCATACTTCCATAAAAGCTCTAGGAATCAAAGAGACTAAACAGTTTTGTGATAGTTTAGTCATAGATGTGCGCACGCTCTTACTATATTTTAATTTCGCGGTGACAGTAAATGTTGCTAAAAAAAATTTATAACAGTGCCATCTATTATTCAATGGCCGAACTAACGCAGTATCTGCAAAGTATTCCAAAACAATTCTCAAACTGCTACGTTTGTAAGTCTATGTTGGACCAATAGATGTATCTATTTCAAAAATAAATAGATCGATTATAAAATTTAAAAAAAAAATAAAAAAAGTATGACTTGCACTTTAATAAGGGTAATAATAAAATCTTTGAAAAAAGCTGATAAGCATAAGCATGAAAAAAATTTACAACAGTGAATCAATTGTCTATTGTAGTAGTTTTTACCCGTGACTCGGCTTACGTGGAATTAAAAAAATAAGTAGAATATTCTCTATATCTATGCCAAATTTCATCGAGATCCGTTCAGCCATATAGGCTAAAAACTAATAACTATAATATTATTTAGAGGAAAGATTTGTATATGCCTAAACAGCCTAGTAGTTTTTGAGTTATTTAAAAACTGAAATAACCTAAAAACTTCTGGACCGTTCAAAATTTCTTTGACAATTAAAAAGTTTCGTTATCAGCGAGCAACATAGGCTGTATTTTTTATATTTTTTTTTACACGGATGAATGGATATTATTATGATTATAGTTTTAATGTATTTTTTTATTGTGGTTACAGATATGGCAAGTTGAGCCCAAAGATGGTACCAGTAAAGTGATAATTACAACACCCTGCGGTGTTCGATGTCTTGATGTTAGTGCTTCTCGCAATAGCCTAGCAGTCGTTGACGATCTGTCCGTCTGTAGAGTTTACTGCTTACCAACTGCTGAATTGCTGTATTCCGTAAGTTTTACATATGTTCTGCTTTAGAAGATATTACAGACTAGCTTTCGCCCGCGACTCCATCCACGTGAAAATAAAAAATATGAGTAGTATATGTGTTCTTCCAGAATACCCTCTACGTCTTTGCCAAATTGAATCGAAATCCGTTCAATAGTTTCTACTCTAAACTCTAACAAACATCCATCCATCTCAACTTTCGCATTTGTAATATCAGTTTTTTTTTTAAATTCCGTGGATTAAAAGCTAGTTAATAATATCAGTAAGATGAAAATTAACTGAAATGTTATCTTGATTTTAAAATGTTTTAGGAAGAGAATGTTTCATCTGTGGCTTGGAACTCATTATGTGATGAATTGCTCTGCCTGTCTGGTGGAGGCTTGCTGTCTATAAAGGCAGGCAAATTCCCAGCGGCGAGACAACCGCTTGCAGGATCCGTTGTTGGATTTCAGGTAATAATTTAACTAGTTGTTGATTACGACTTCGTCCGCTTTTTAAAATCGAGCGGAGCGGATGTTAAAACTACTGGTAGTTTTGAGTTATTTCATTACATACAAAAATGCAAATCTTTTATCTTATTAATAATAGTATAGATTAGCAATTAATTAGAAAAGATTAGGAAAAAGAGAGATATAGAGAGGGAGAAAGAGAGCTCTTTCTCTCTCACTCTCGCATAGTGGGATAGTGAGAGAGTGCCTCTCGGCGTGGGTGCGGGCAGATTTAATTTGATAATTATTTACAGTCTATGTGGAAATTAATAGTTAAATTTTATAGACTTTATTTATATTTTCAACATTGGTAGTGCGGGTTTTCGCTGCCGAAGTACTTTGTAGAAAACATTGTTAGTCCTTATTATCCACATTAAGATATGTTTTTCTCTATGTGTTTCGACAGTTAACATGGGGATTTAAACATTCTGCAACTTGCCTTCACAATGTTTAACATAAATAGTTTGTATATTATGTATTAATACAATTTTATTTAAATTTCAGGGTGGTCGTGTATTCTGTTTGCAATCAAGTGCCATGCAAACCATAAACGTGCCACTCTCCCATGCTGTACATCAATACGTTCAAAAGAAGATGTTCAAGTTAGTATTTATTACTGCAATTTTATTTCACAACTAGCTGTTCCCATGCGACTTCATCCGCATGGAATTATAAAAATTTCATTTTATTATTCACATTTGTCAAATTGTCAATTGCAAATGTCAAAATGACATGGCATGATGGCAAAGCATGGTAACCTTGCTTCCTTGAAGTTGGCAACAACTTATGGTCTCTTTCCCAAATTAGGTTTTTTATCAAAAATATTTACCCCAAGTTTAACGGCGTGAAAATATATAGCCTAAAGAGTGATGTAAGTATAGGAAAGTAAGGCTTTAAATTAAAAAAAAAGTGTTATTCGAAAATATCTCTATTCCATCCAAATACATTGAATGCTCGCTTGAGCTCATGACTTACTCCCCGTGAATAAAAACATCGTCTGTGTCCATCACAGATACATTACATTAGTCATGGTGAATGAATTTTTAAAATCCGCCCAGTAGTTTTTACATGAATCAAATACATACAAATACAATACTTTTCTCTTTATGATACTAGTATAAATAACCTAAAAAATAATAGAATAAATCCTAGGACGCTTCAATCACCTTGCTTATCAGTTTTGAATGTACGTAAATAAATTAGTTCCACATTTTCCCGGGATATGGTCCCTTACTACTCCGTATTTATAATTTACTAGCTTTCGCCCGCGACTCCGTCCGCGTGGAATTAAAAAATCAAAACTGAGTAGCTTATGTATTCTTCCAGACTCTCCTTTACGTCTATGCCAAATTTCATAGAAATCTGTTCAGCCGTTTCGGCTACAAACTCTAACAAACATCCATCCATCCATTCATCCATCCATCTAAACTTTCGCATTTATAATATTAATATGAAGTATGATTACACAAAACTAGTAAGCAATGTTCTTCCAGACTATTCTACAATGCCCAATCACAGCAAGATCTTATGATCCGTTTTGAGATAAGTAGAAACATCCATCCAAACTTTCGTATTTATTAATAATACTTTTGTGTTTTTTTAGTGACGCGTATGCGGTAGCTTGTTTGGGTGTCACAGCACTTGATTGGGAACGACTTGGTTTAGCTGCCTTCGATGAACTTTCTTTCGAAGTTGCTAGAAAGGCATTTCAGAGAAGTGAAAATATCACTTACCTCACACTTATTGATCAATTACAGGTAATAAATAATACTATCGTTTATGTTATTGTGCTAACCCAAAACTCACTAAAACCCAAGATTTCCTAACTATTTATGGTCAAAGATTTTAAGTTGTAAAAGATCTATTGGTTCCCGTGCGATTTCATCCGCATTAAATTATGAAAAATTTATTTTATTGTTTACATTTGTCAAATTACAAATGTCAAAATGACATGACATGATGACAACCTTGCTTCCTTAATGTTGGCAGCAACTTATGGTCTCTATCCCACATTAGGATTTTTATCCAAAATATTTACCTCCTAAGTTTAATGGCGTTAAAATGTATAGCCTAAAGCGTGACGTAAGTGTAGGGCTTTTTATTAAAAAAAAGAATTATTCAAAAATATGGTGTAATTGGTGACATCTTAGGCAACAAAGAAGTGTGTGTTTACGCTTTATTATAATAGTATAGAGTATAGATACTGTGATTGTATAACAAATAAGATTACTTGGAATTATTAAATTAAATCGTTGTAAAGGAGCCAGCTTTCTCTATCAGCGTGGAATTAAAACAAAACAAAAGGAAGTAAGTAGCCTATGTAGTAGTGTTCTAGTAAGTAATGTCTAGAAGAATGGGCGGGCTACTTATTTTGGCTTAAGCCAAATTTCATCAAAACCGATTCAACCGGTTATTTATAATATTAGTAAGATTTGACAATTACCTTAATCATTGGTACGATTATTTCCAGGAAAAACTAGAAGCTGGAGAGAAGCGAGGAGTAGTTTTGGGTGAAGTCCTAGCGTATAGAGGAAAATATAACGAAGCGGCGAACTCCTTCCAAACTTCGGGACGCGATGATCGAGCACTTAACTTATACCTTGATCTCAGGATGTTTAATAAAGCACAGGTAATTAATTTCAATGATTTTATTACCTCAGTAAATTGGTATATCGAATATAGTGTTTGAATCCCTTTAAAGTTCTATAGTGAAAACAATATTGTTGCTAAATAATACGCCATCATAGTCACCTTTTTATGCAAAAGCGTGAGGAGTCGACCTAAATCCGCTGAAGTATCGAAACATCTGTCTCTAATAGACGTTCGCATAAGCAGTTTTATTGCCTACTGATAGGGGGACAGACAAGAAGCATATTCATTTTTCCCATAAATCACTTTGCTTCCCATAAATCACCAGACAAATCTATTCCAAAGTTTCAATGAGTGGTCCGTCCATTGGTGTTTTAGGTAGACTATACATGAGTTAATTGTGATAGGAGTTGGTGGGTGAGGGCGAAGGCCTGGCGGCTCTGGGGCGGAGGCGCGCGGAGTGGGCGCGGCATGTGAGCGAGCCCCGCGCCGCTGCTGAGATGTACCTTGCTGTAGGTGACGTACGTCGCGCCGCACAACTTATGGCGGACAATGGACGCAGGGATATGTAAGAATAAGATATATTCCACTAACTAGAATATGAGCTTCAGTATTTTGTGCCTATTTGTTCGAAAACTCAAAATAATAATATTAATCTATATGTCGCAGGAAGCTATATAATGATTGTTGCTTTATGTGTAACAAACGTTATTGTCTTAGGTTTTAATATTGTTTAAGATAATTTAAATAATTTATTCCTTTTTTTCTCGAAAGTAGAAACTCGATGTCATTTGTATTTAGTTCTTTTTAAAATTAAAAGTACGTCAACTTGCATACGACCAATAAGAGCAGAGCAAGCGGCTCGAGTGGCCTTTATTAGCTCGAGCGGGGTCGAGGCGCAGTTCAGTGCTTAGAGGGCGACGTTTGTAGTGACATGTTGTGGTGCGTGTTGGCAAAGTGGCGAGTCGATTGAGGAGAGTAGTGTAGTAGAAGTACGAACAGGTGCCACGAACCCGCTGCTCGGTCTTGCTTGTTGATTTGCTATGTGATAAGTGTAGATTCCGAATTATATTGTGTTAATCCGTGTCTCTAGTGTTTTAATGCTCGCACTTCACCCAAATAACGCCCACGAAACCAAGACTCGGTAGCAAAGATATCGGGGAGAAAGACCCAACTCCGACATATATATTAGAGGTTCCCGAACATTTTTCCTCAAGGACCCTTTTTCTTTTCTTCTTAAAGTGGTTCTTCTTCTTCTTAAAGTGGCATCTTCTTCCGAAGTTCGGCGATCATTAGGGCGACTTTCGTTCTTGACACCGCGGCTCTGAAGAGTGAACGGGTGCTCTTTCCATACCACTGGCGTAGGTTTTTGAACCAGGACGTTCTTCTTCGACCTACGCTTCGCATTCCGTGAATCTTGCCTTGTACGATGAGCTGCAGTAATTCGTATTTGGCATTTCGCATTATGTGACCTAGGTACTGCAGCTTTCTTTCTAAGGGGTTGTGTTTAACCATAAATTGAAATGAAATGTTAAGTAATTTTTAAAATGTTGAGTTTTTAAAATCACGAGTTTTTGGTGTTTTAAATCTCATAAAATTGTTGTGAACTCCCAATTCGGTTTCTAATAACCCCACTTTGGAAGTCTGATGTAAATTAATTGGTATTTTCTTGTAATCACAGCTGTTGCTTTGTTCAATAAAATACAGTGTTAACTTATAGAGCAAATAATAAAAATAAAATTATTCCGCAACCTTAATAGACATTTTAAAATCGAATCAAAGCAAAAGCTGTCTTATCCAAGTAACCTGTCCCGCGGATGTCTATAAATAAATGATCTTTGTGTTACAATTGTTTTGAAAATAATATTAAAATTTCAGGTTAATAGAGTTGGCACGTAAACTGGATAAGGGGTCAAGTGAGTCGCTCCGGCACGTTGCTGAGGCGCTGGTGTCAGTAGGAGAGCCGGCAGCCGCCGCTGATGTTTATCAACGTCTTGGTGATTATAGGTATGGTTTCTTTATTTTTTAATATCACAAACACAACTGAGAAGTCTCCTAATTTCGTTTTCATACCAAATTATAGATGTATTTCTTTCATACAGAGGGTTCTCTTTCCAACACTATTTCCAGTCAAATTCCCTATTCCTTTCTATTTCGCTTTAATAAAAAGGGAAGAGGAATAATGGCCTCTTCCATCTGTTAAATAATTAGATAAAACTAGCTTTCGCCCGCGACTCCGTCAGTGTGAAATTAAAAAAAAGTGAGCAGCTATGTGTTCTTCCAGACCATCCTCTACATATATACTTCAGCAGTTTAGGCTACAAACTCTTACAAACATCCATCCATCTAAATTTTCGCATTTATAATATTAGTGACATTATTAAAATTACCAGTATTACTGTGTTTTAGGAAAGTAGCGCAGTTAGCAATATCCGCTGGCGAATGGCAGCGAGCGTTCGCACTTGTTCGCGAACACGCGGAGTGCAAGAGCGATGTTTACTTACCGTACGCACATCGTATGGCACAGGAGAACAAATTCATTGAGGCACAGAAAGGTTAGTTAATACCTTTAGTCTACAGTAGGTACAGTCGGGAAAACTGACGGTGATCCAACTTTAAAGCAAAAATCGTTTGAACATTTTATCGAAACAAAAGTTAATACAACGCGGCTTATGAATGTGTCTACGAAAAGTAATCGGTACATACGGCTAGTTTCTTTTTATTGCACCACTCACTGGTATGTAATTAGTTATTTGTAGAAAAAGGCAAGACAATACATCTCTATCGGCTACTATATCTGATTAATATTCACATAATCCATCCATTATTTCAGTCTTCCTCTACCTTTTTGGTATTTTACATGTTTATGAGAACATTATGTTGCGTAATATAAACACTAGCTGTTGCTCGCGACTTCATCCGCGTGAAATTAAAAGTATAAATAAAAAACATACCCTATGTTACTCACTAATAACGTAGCTTTTTAATGGTAAAAGAATTTGAAATCGGCCCAGTACTTTTTAAGTTATTCCAATACATACAAACAAACATATCTTTTCTCTTTATAATATTAGTATAGATAGACTGAATTATTGCTATTAATTTCCTATTGTTGTCTTTGTTTTCTCAAATAGAATGGAAGAGATTGGCTTGATTGGAATATGTTTTTTTTTATAACATAAGGTGGCAAACGAGAGAGCGGCCTCCTGAATACTCCAAAATGACAAAGCGACTGCTGCCCATAGACATCCGCAATTGCAGATGCATTGCCTACCATTATACGACAAAGGAGAAGACGCACATAAAAAAGGCATTTCCCCTTCCTATGCATCTCATCCACTTCCCCTTCTCAACCTCTCCTTATAAGAAAAGAGTGGTAAAGAGGAATGGACTTAAATTAGGCCTCCGGCACCACACGGAATTTCTTCCACTTCACGCCTGTCTTCTGTATGGTCGTGGTATTACTGGGGGCGAGCCGGCCCTGCACTGCTAGGATGTTAAAGCTGGCACTACCACTGTTAAATTAAAACTAACGCAGGAACTGCTTAGTTACTCCAGCATACATTGAGTTGGCTACCTTTTTAGAAAAAGTTGTTTTTAGAATAAGTCCGTTTGTTTGATCGTTTTTTATTTTTTGTGGCAATATATAAGTATTACTTTCTATTCTAAATTTGTATACATTTTGTTTCCAGCGTATCATATGGCAGGTGAAACGGCGACAGCGATGCGTGTATTCGCCGTGTTAGTTGGAAATGCAGTAGCTGAGGAACGGTTCTCGGACGCCGGATATTTACATCATCTACTTGCCCTCCAATGCTTAGAGACTGCTAATGTTACTACAGACAAGTAAGTCATGTTTTATAAATACTTTCGCCCCTTACTCTGTTCGAGGAATTCGAAAACTATTAGTAGTCTATGTGTTCTTTTAGACTACCCTCTATATCTATGTCATATTTCTTCGAGACACGTTTAGGAGTTTAGGCAACAAATCTTAATAAAGATCCCTCCATCCATCTAAATTTTCCCATTTAAATTATTACTAGCTTTTGCCCGCGATTCTGTCCGCGTGGAATTACAAAAAACAATAGTGACAAATCTATGTGTTTTTCCAGACTATCTTGTACATCTATTACAAATTTCATCGGAATTCGGTCAGTCGTTTAGGCTACATACTCCACATACATCCATCCATTTAAACTTTTGTATCCATGATATTAGTAAGATAAATAAACTAGACGAGGGCTTCATAGGAAACATTTATTTCAATTAATTTTTTTTGATTATTTTATCTTTAAAAATCTTAATAATTATACTACTCAATTATTAAGGTTTTTTTTATATAAAAATCATGTAATATAATAAAATAAGAAATTAAGTATATATGAGTTAATACTACTCAATACCTTTGGTAACACCATTTGAATGAAAAATTACAGTGTTTCCAACTATGTTGACTTCGAGAGATATTGTTTTCTCATTTCATTCAACTTAGTTATACATTTATTTACTCTTATTTTACTATTAATATCTGTATAATTTCAGAGCTCGTGAATCAGCGCTTCGTAGATACGAGAGTAACTCTGGTTTGTCGGCAGTATACAACGCCTACGAAGCTGTGCACCGCTGTGTTCACGAGCCATTCTCATTGACACAACCAGACACGTTACTGAATGCTGCTCGGTATGCATACGCATACGTAGAAGATAACATTCTACCGCCGGGATTGTCATTATTGTATCCTTTTATTAAATATATGGTTTAAAAATATTAAAAAAATGGCTATTGCTGGCGACTTCGTCCAAGTGAAATTAAAAAAAATAATAAAAAAAGTCTAGCTTATGTTAATTAAATAACCTTTCTAACGGTGAAAGACTTTTTAAAATCGTCCCACTAGTTTTTGAGTTATTCCAATACATACAAAAATACAAATCTTTCCTCTTTATTTTAGTATAGATAAAACACGGCTTAACTCATGTGGAAAATTCGTTAAATAAAAAATAACTTCAGTTAATTAATTCAGTATGTCTCACGTAAGTTTCAATAGTTACAGAAGATCATAAATTCCTTTTTTCCACGGTTTCCCCTCTTTCTTACTATAAGGGGGCAACCGAGCGACCTAAATTCGCCTAAATAGCGAAGTGATTCATGTCCCCCCAGTAAGATATTTCCGTTTACGCATCTCCAGCCAAATTCACTACCACTGCTCACCCTTTTCTCATTAAGAAATCATAGTACACTGTACTAAAATGGACTTTCACCATAACGTCTTAATAAATCCATGTTTACTACTGGCTTTCGCCTGCGATTCTGTCCGCGTGAAATTAAAAAGAATAAAAGTGAATAGTCTATGTGTATATTCGGACTATCTTCTACATCTATACCAAATTTCATCAAAATCCGTTTAGCCGTTTAGGCTACAAATTTTAATAAACATCCATCCATTCATCTGAAATACAGCATTTATAATATTAATAAGATTGAAATAGTCAATTTGTATGTACAATGAACAATGATTGAAATATTCCTTGACAATAACTGCAGCTGTTTGTATTTATGTATCGCAAAACAAGCAAAAACATTGAACGCGAACACATTAGCGCAGCAAATGTTTGATAAAATACTCAATCTACAAGTACCACAAAAATTTCAAGTAAGTATTTAATACTAATACTAAAAGAAATGTAGTTTATATAAGCATGTTTTAATTTATGAATAATATTCCAATGCAAACTAGGAGATATATTTATCGAAATGTATCAAAAATAAGTAGAGTACTTCCAAACATTAGCGGTATTACAAGTCATTCGTCTTAAAAACAACTGTGGAGTTGACATTCCACTATCTATCTCTTTCTATCTAAAGTACTTGTAATATCTCATTCTCAAGATACGGAGTTGATTTTAGATTTACTACCAAATTCCAGTGACTTGTTTTACTTAAAATTTAGTATCGCCTTTCATTCGACGTACTGTAGTTAATTTTTTTATAAATAAAACACATGTATATCTTTAGAACGTGTGCACAAATTTGGCTAAACTCTCGCACAACTGTTTAGTCTTGCTTTGATTCATATAAACTTATATTGATCGCACGCTACTCGATTTTAGTTGTGCAACTAAACAGTTCAATTGGCTGGGAAACAATCGACAATCGCATAACAGTTGTGCGATAGTTTAGTCAAAGGTGTGAACGCTTTTAACATGACATAATAGTAAATTTACATTATCTTTTGTAAGGAAAGCGTGGAATTATTAATACTAAAGAGTCGGGCTACAAGTTGTGTTGATAATGAAGAGGAAGTAGCGCCATTGTGCTGGCGTTGTCGGAGACACGTGCCAGCATTGTGCGCCAGCAAGTGTCCCCATTGCTATCATCGTCTTGCACATTCTATGGCCACGTATGGTGAGTTACTTGAATTTAAACATCCACACAGTCAAACATATTGTCATCTCTTTTGTTTTGGAATAAAAAGAGAAGGATGACAGTATACTTTTATGATACGTATGTCTTGTAGATATTTACGTACTATCTTGTAGGGTTGCTATACTGTGATGTTCATTTACTCTAAAATTCACTTTTATATATTTTCTTTCACACAATTCACACGTTCTCCAATTTTTCTCTATTATATTTATAATCACTTCTATATTTTTATTGGGTTGCAAATTCTTTATCAGAATCTTGTATACTATACTCTTCCGCATATCTGTCTGTATATCTGTATTTATTATTTCTTACGTGTATTCTCATTCAAATATTATATGCATTGTTTATTGGTTATATGCCCTTCATCTATATCTACACTAACGATCAGGAATGATTTGTATTTATTGAAGTAACTCAAAAACTACTGAGCCGTTTACAAAAAATCTTTCACCATTGAAAAGCTACGAAAAGCTACATAGGCTATATTTTTTAATCACACGAGCGAAGTCGCGAACAACAGCTAGTTTTCGTTTTTGTTTAATTTCTGACGTATGCTTCTTTGTTTGTTGCAGAAGTGCTTCCCCTAGTGCAATTTGTACCAGCGGAGGGTATATCTATGGAAGAAGCGTTTGACCTTTTAGAACGAACGCCGCTGCCCGAAGCTGCAGTCAAACAAACTAATGAAGCTGATATACTTAGAATAGACCACGACATCGATTCCTCGGATCCATTCTTAGATAAAATTGAAGAGGTAAAGATTATTTTCTTTTATATTTAATAGTTTTTATATGGTACATATAATTTAAATCGAATATTAACAAGTAAAATAGTGCTTTTTCTTATTTCATAAGAATAAGTAACAATGTTATTTTCAATGTAAATTATTGAATCACTAATTATTTCTGTAAAAAATGAGATGAAATATGTTACATAGTTTTAAAGGGAATATAAAAAAAATATGGGTTTTGTAGTGCGTAGATAATGTTAACCATCGGTACGAACAATGCAAAAGTTTAGATGGATGTTTGTTAGAGTTTGTGGCCTAAACGGCTGAACGGATCTTGATGAAATTTGGCACAGATATAGAGGATACCCAGGTAGAACACATAGGCTACTTTTGATTTTATTTAATTCCACACGGACGGAGGCGAAAGCTAGTATATAAATAAATATATGGTTACATTATATATTATTTCTAGCTGTACCCTGCGAATTCATTCGCATGAAATTATAAAAAAATCATTTCATTGTTTACATTTGTCAAATAGCGTGAAAATATATAGCCTAAAGCATGTCATAAGTGTAGTTATCTTTATTAAAAAAATAATTATTCAAAAGCATGCTGTGATTGCTAACATTCTACGCCACGAAGTATGTTTACGTTTTATTTTATTAGTCTAGAAGTATATATATATTTATTATTATTATGTTCTATAGGAGGATGAAGCTGGTGTAGTTGTGTGCAGTCGCAATGCTTTGTTGCGTATGAATCCTGCAAGTGTAGTTGTAGTACAACGACCGCCGCTGACTACACGATTCTATAGAAATATGTTACCCGAACTACCTATAGCTACCTGTACACACTGCCAGAATGTAAGTCATATTTATTATTATGTAATACATTGTAATACTTTAAACCTTGGCAACCTTATTAGTCAAAGAGCCAAAAATATTACAATTTGAATAAAAGTTAAGGCTAGATTTTCCTGTTTAGTTAACTTTTATTGCACAATAAGTTAGTTAAATACTGAATTAAACTGAATTAAATCTTACTAATATTAGAAATGCAAAGGTAAATACTAAGGTTTAGGTGGAGGATGGATGTTTGTTAGAGTTTGTAGCCTAAAGGCTGACCGGATCTCAATGAAATTTGCCATAATCGTAGAGGATAGTCTGGAAGACCACATAGACTGCTTACTTTTGTTTTTTTTTCTTAATTCCAAGCGGTCAGAGTCGCAGGCAAAAGCTACTATAAATGTAATTTCTCATTTCCACGGAATTCGACCATTTGTATGTGCTAAATTAAAAGAAAAATCTTATAATTCTCAAGACATAATCATCAAATGAGCAATTAATAATTAATCAACTGCACTAATGTAAAAAATACTGATATAATATAAATAACAATTGTTTCAGCTGTTTTATATGGAGGATTATGAAATACAAATTGTTACTAAGGGTCATTGCCCATTCTGTCGTCATCCACCCGAAGAGATCAATGAAGATGTAGATGACTCGTTACTCAATGGATCTGATGGCTCAACACCGGACAGTGCGAGCAATGGACATAATACATGGCGATAGTCACAATACCAGGGTCATGAAACTATATATGCAAATACTTGATACTGCTAAGTAGTTCAAATTATAATGGTACGAAAACAAAACAATTATTACGATGTAACACTCCGCGACCTTTCCAAAATCTTCGTGAACTTTCGACTAAATTCGGCGGAGCTCGGAATTTTCGTACCACGGTAAAAATCCGAGCTCTCGTCATGCGTTTTGTACTAAACGTTCCGTTTTACGAGCCGTTAACTATCTCTATACTTTACATCGAAAATAAGTATTATAAATATGTTTAGAGCTTAATTTTTAATATGGATTAGAATGTTTTATAGTAATTATAAAATATATTGGAATTTATTCGATCGCCGTAAGAACGCATTTAAAGACGAGCCACTAAATACCATGTACAATCAAATTCAATGAAAATGACAAATTACAAACTTATTTAAACAAACAATATAACACAATCACTTTAAATTATTAAAAACAAACATGTTTGTATTATCAATCATACTTCATACTCATATTATAAATGCGAAAGTTTAGATGGATGGATGTTTGTTAGATTTTGTAGCCTAAACGGCTGAACGGATTTAGATTAAATTTGGTATAGATGTAGAGGATAGTCTGGAAGAACACATGCCTATGTGTTTCCACTCAATTGTGTTTTTTTTTAATTCCGCGTGGACGGAGTCGCCGCGAAAGCTAGTTTAAACATAAAGTAATTTACCATTTTTATTGAATACTACTATATATATGTCTTGATATAGCACCTGTAGTATTTAAGAACAACCATTAATACAGATTACATGTGTGTCTGTTTTTTTAATAGAATATAAAGGATGTGTTGAAGAAACCTAAAGTTTTTGTGATCCTTGTTTGTTTATTTTAATTGTTCTTAGATTAGTATTAAGATAGCAAAACACAATAGGACTTATGTAACCGTTTTCTGTTTATCGATTTAAAAAAAGTCCCACCGACATTGCAAATGGATTTTTAGCAATCTGTATAATTACAATTTATAGTAAATTAGTTATTTTTTAAAACTTTGAATATTGTTCTGTTTTTAAACAATATTTTTTAAAAAGAAATTGTAATTAACTTATTAAAACTTTCGTGAGACATTATATATACTACATCGTAGAAATTGTAATCTTTGGAACGTAGTAATACCCTTACGAATGCCTTCATTTTTTTGATTTTTTTCAGATCAAATGTTCTTAGAGTGGGTGCACACCTATGACTCAAGTATCACATAACAGTTATACGATTGTCGCAGCCATTTCAATTGTTTAGTTGCACAACTAAAAGTCGAGTAGTGTGCGCACCTCCATACGAGCTCATGGGAATCAAAAAGACTAAACAGTTGTGCAATAGTTTAGTCAAAAGTGAACGCCTGCGACAAGTTTATCTGAGTCGGTAAAAAAGGCATTGTAATCGCTTAGTTATATCAGAAATTATATAAAACCTACATAGGCATACAAAATCATGTTAAATTAAAACCACGATAAGAGTTTTGTTATTAAAAGGAGGCGCTAGTGAGCTAACATAATTTTGTTAGAATTTTGCTTATCGGGTCAAATAGCTTTATCAATCTTTACATGGCTCAAATCAAATAGTTTTATATGTGACATTTATATTTTCCGTCCAATAAAAAGATCTTATAAAACTACTCTGAGAAAATACCACCGCTAAGTTCATAAAAAAGTTGTTATAAACATTTTTGTAATTAAGTCTTAAATATAAAATTCCTTTGGCACAACTCTCTTAATGTTGTATTTGCGGTGTTTCCCAAATGTACAATAAGGTCAGCGACAGATGGCCAATATGACTACAAAACAAACTTAAAGCCGTCTACACACTTGAAAATAACGCAGATTTTTACAACTGTTTTAATGATAGAAACTCAAAATTTGTATAATAAATAAGATTAAATAAATAATAGATTAACAAATTACATTATGTAAAATTTAATTTAATAGGCAATATGCAAACTTTCTAAGCATACTTTATTACTATAAAAACAAAAACTGTAAAGATTTTTTTAATGTAATATGATTTAGTAGCGAAATTTAATCATCTAAATGTGTCTTTTAAATTCCCTCGCTAAGTTCAAAAAACGTAACGCTATTAGTCGAAACAAGTGACTTATCTAAATGTTAGAAACACTGTTAATACATAGTTCATCCACAGTAAGCCAACACCGGCCGCGTTTTACTCGCGCGAAGTTAATCGTATTTTTTTTTTGTTTAAAGGTCAATTTTTTTCCAGTCAACATTTTTATTACCAGAAGAAACTTTAAAAAAAGAAAAATAAAATACATGCGTATTCCCTATTACATTCCATCGGTAATGTCCATCAGATGAGCAGTTTCGAATGATTTGATTTACATTCATCAATTAGTCATAATGAGGACGTCCATTATATTTTCATATAATTGAAAGTGATGAAGCGGCTAGTTAATGAAATTTTAATTAACTTATAGCGCATGTTATCCTTTCATACCAAATTTTTAACAAAAAAATTATTATTGTGATATTGAGTTTTATGTGACAATTTAAGAAAAAATTCTTAAAGAGTGATTCCTAAAAACACAAATACATTATGATGACAACAAAATTAGATTTTTAGTAGTTATTTATTTTTAAAAATTAGTACCATACTGCTTAACTATAAATGCGAAAGCTTGGATGGATGGAACAATGGATGGTTTCTGTGGACGTATTTCCACAACGCTTCAACAGATCACACTGATATTTGGGTTAGCCTAATCAAGTTTTTGCTTAATTCTATACGAAATGGATGGTTTAATTTTAACGTCAGTTTTTTGTTTGTAAGGTGCCTTATGATTTTTCGTCCGCACGGTAATGTTTTGTCGACAGGTGTCAACTGTTTGAAGGACACTATCACGTGCAGTATAGTGCCGTGAACCACCTTCACCTTTACATTTCTGTCACAAAACATGGACAACAAAAAACATTTTTAAAAACAAAAACTTTCTGGAAATTTCTGTTTAAAAATTTATATAGATTTCCACCTTACTACTTTACTTTATACCTTCCAATCCAAACAGTAAACTAAGGATAAATCTTATTTTACGCTAAATTCAAACGATTTATAACATTCATGTAAAATATTAACTACCAAATTAACGTGAAAATTGATGTAAATCAGTATACAAATTAATTTCAGCTTTGAATCGAAACGAAGTTCTCCCGTTCCGTGAATTTTCCCTCTAAATAATATAAAAACAAAAGACATGTAATAAGTCAATCTCGTATTAACATTTCAAAGAGTTCATCTGTCCTTGTCCTACTGAGTTTTGTATTGAAATAAAGATGTTTACTATTTAAAAATCGATTCCCCTTTTGACGTTCATTGGATTCCAATTCGGTTTTCGAAGAATTGCATTTGGTGCGGTTGATGGAATACTTTTCTGTAATTAAAAAAATTTGAAGAATACAATTAAAGCCTTACTGGTGTCAGTAACTTTTTAAGTTATTATATACGAGAACCGCTAAAACATATTATAATACTATGTTATTCAATATAACAGTTATTTATTAGGTTTTAAAACAATTTAAAATACGCACAAGGCGATATATGCGTTGATTTTTCATTTTTATTACGAAAAGTTTTCTTTCTTGTTCATAAGTAACTTACTACGTAAGTAATTACGACAGTAATTTAATTTTTTCTATTATTATCTGCAATTCATATACTCTATGACAAAACAGCGGCAGTCGTATTCTACGGTTAAGTTAGTTGATATAATATTAAAATGTTTTTGTTAGTATGTACAATGTAAACCAATCGTATTTGTTTAGTCATCTAAGTCTGCGCAATAGGAATTTACGCTAAGTTGATACTTGTGTGCTGCGTGAAATGTACATTTTTAGTTATAATTACAAAGTGCCGTAATTCATAAATGATTTCAGTGTCTGAGAATAAGATCTCTTTAAAATGAAATAGAAATTGTTTTAGTGTTAGTAATTCTGTGTATATGTTGTGATAAAACCACCGTCCATTTTAATGAAAATAAATAAATAGTAAAGTATGATGTGTGTTATTAATCACTCCGCAAGTAGCCGGTTGGAAGCCATCTGGTTTGTTTTATGACTGATGGTCATTGCCTGTCATTTCCTATCATTATTTTTGCATTCGATCGATGAGCTGATATAATTTGCACCTAATGACGATGCTTAAAAAATGTCAGGTGCTTAAGAAATTATATCATATTAAAATTAATTAGGACTTAACAGCCTATGTAGCTAGATAAGCATCTAAGATAAAAATATGTGTACTAACTGTTGCTCGCGACTTCGCCCGCGTTACTCACAGATAAATTACCTTTCTAACGGTGAAAGAATTTTTAAAGTCGGCCCAGTATTTTTTGAATTATTATAATGCATATAAAATACAAATATTTCTTCTTTATAAATTAGTATATATAAGTTAAACTTTACATAGTTTAGCATAACTGAGAATTGTACAGTTAAACTGACAGTCCAAATGCCTGCATACTTAAGTTAACTGAATAATTGGACTTTTTAAACAAAACCGAAGAAGTTAACAGTTGAAAAATAATAACTCTCAGATTATGCAGTTGAAAGTTAAAATATATACAAAAAATAACAATACAGTTAAACGTACGAGACAATACTTATGTTTATATAGATTTTTTAACAATTTAACTTTTTCCTTACATAAGTGTATTTTTTAATGTTACCAGAGTTAATTTAAGTAAGCATTCCAAATGTGGCACTAAGGCTTGGCAACACAGGATCATATAAACAAATTTGTATTCAACAAATTCCGCTAAGGCTGCATTAACTAGAAGAAGGCAATATGACGCTGGTATTTAGTCCATCTCTGGCGCCGCTGAGATGCCTCGCTTACAAGTTTATATTTCAACAATCGTAACTAACGAACACGAAATTTTATATCTATATCGCGAATCGCGGTCTGATATGCAATGTCATCAATAAATGTAAAATGCCACTGAAGTTTTTAACATTTAGGCCCTTCGTACACGAGTCGACATCTCTATCTGTCATCGCTAAAGTCAAACGTGTACAAACAGTTAACATCCTCGGTGGCAGAGGAAATACAGTAGACATTTTGTAAATACGCGTCAGTCGTGTTTTCGCTTTACCTATACTAATTCAATAGTCAAGACGATCCCTTGTGTGTACGTAGAGCTACGCGATACTCGCGACGCAAATGTAGTAATATTACTCTTAAAGATTTACAGTGTCTAGTGTATGAAGAGCCTTAGATATTTAATGTCTGTAACTTGTTATGTTACTGTGCGTTTCGGCCGTCGAAGCACTTGTAAAATGATATCCCTCTCATTCTCATTGGAAATAAAACAAAGACAACAAAATACAATAACACGTTGGTTTTTAATTAACTAGTGAAAATATCTTTCTTACCTTATTATTAATACTAGCTTTCGCCCGCGACTCCATCCGCGCTTAATTA